GAGCTTGTGTAATAAGGATAGGGTAACCTACAGAATGGTGTTGGCAGTGGGGGTTATTAAAAAATGGATTTCAGGATTTGGCTAGGTCAGGATAATGGCAGTCTGACAGCAGTAGCCTTAGTCGATTTCTTGTTAAAGAGGTTAAAGGGTTAAAGGTTAAAGGGACTATACTCACAAAAACAACTTTAGTGTAATGAAGCAGTTTTTGTGTATGGACGTACAGTCTCACTGCTCAATCCTCTGCCATTTAGGAGTAAAATCACTTTTGCTTTTGTTTATTCAGCCATAGCCACACCTAACCTGGCAGTGACTGGCACAGCCCGCATGAAAAGAGAATGGTTTCATTTTCAAACAGATGTAACTTACTTTATAAGTATGTATCTCCTGCTCTGCAAATTGAACTTTAATGCACACATGCGACTCCTGTAGGGTCTAGCAAGCTATTAACAGAGCAGGAGATAAGAAATTATAAATTAAACAGAGTTTGCAATTAAGGAAGTGTAAACATTAGATATTTCTTTACATGAAGTGTTTAGGAAGATTGTGTAAGTCACATGCATGCAGGAAGGTGTGACAAGTACTGTATAAACAAAGTGTTTTAACTCCTAAATTGCAGAGAACTGAGCAGTGAGACTGCAGGGCCATGAGCTATACAGCAAAACTGCTTCAATAAGCTAAATTTGCATTGATGACTATAGTGTCCCTTTAAGTTGAGAACCAGTGGTCATAAAGTTGTAGGAGAGACCTTGCAGTGGTGGTGAGAGGGAATTTAGCACGTATAGAGAGCTATACAGAGACAAAAAAAACAAATCTCTGCTAATATTGTTTGTCAGATATCCATTAGTGAATGAGTAACATTACTGACACCCATATGTATGAGTCAGGCTACACAGATAGGTAGATTGAGTTATATTACATGCAATTAGCTCTGCATGTTTCATCACTACACTGGGAGATGGAGCTGAGTTGTCGAGTACTAATCACTAAGCACCTTAAAGCAAAAAAAGAAAAAAAAAAGGGTGGGGGGAGGCGGAGATGCCTTTTAACCAAATGTCTGTTGGTAAAAAACATATACAGCATTGGTGAACTGATCCCATTAATATTCTAAAAAAAGTTTCCAGATCCAATTATTGAATATGGCAATTATTTAAAATCAGAAAGATTTTTAATTTCTTCCCCCTCTATACTCACCGAGGACTATGGCTGGATGGCTGCTCACTTCCTTAAACATAACCTGTTCAAAACAGAACTTTTGAAGGTCTTTCCTCCTTAAAGTGTTACCACTCCCGTGTCTGTCTTCCTCCATGTCAACGGCGCTACCATCACCTCTACCTCGCAGGCTTGCTGCCTAGGTGTTCTCTTTGACTCCGACCTCTCCTTCACCCCTCATGTCCAGTCAATTGCCAAATCCTGTCGCTTCCATCTCAAAAACATAGCTTGGACCACCTCTATTTAACGCCAGATGCGGCTAAGGTGCTGGTCCATGCTGTTGTTCTCTCTCGCCTTCACTACTGCAATGCCCTTCTCAATGGTCTTACGTGTTCCCAGATTGCACCGCTGCAATCTATAATGAATGCGGCGGTGAAAGTCATTTTCCTGTCTGCTCGCACCTCCCACGCCTCCCCGCTCTGTCAGTCCCTGCATTGGCTTCCAGTTAGATATAGGGCTCAATTTAAAATTCTGGTGGATAATGCTGCTCCAGCCTACCTATCCTCCCTAATACACAAGTATGTCCCGTCGAGGCCCCTACGCTCTGCCAAAGACCTAAGTATATCCTCTGTACGTACTCCCACCTCTAATGCTTGCCTCCAAGGTTTCTCCAGGGCTGCACCTCTTCTGTGGAACTCCCTTCCCTTCTCCGTTAGACTTTCACCCAGTCTCCACTCCTTCAAAAAAATAATTGAAAACTCACTTCTTCAAGAAAGTATATCAATTAAATTGTTAGCAGGTTTTTATCCCCCACCCTCCATGACTCCTCTCCTGCGACTGTCAAAATTACCTACTAAGCCCTCAGTGAATACTTTTCTAACAACCTACTTCATACCCCTACTTTTACTCTTTGTGTCACTATACCCCACTCCCTCTAGAATGTAAGCTCATTGAGCAGGGCCCTCCACCTCTCTGTTCCTGTACGTCCAGTTGTCTGGTTACAATTACATGTCTGTTTAGTCCACCCATTGTACAGTGCTACGGAATCTGATGGCGCTATATAAATAATAAAATAATAATGATAATAATAATGTGACCGAATAACATGACAGCTATTTGATATCAAACAGTAGAAACACTGGCACAAAACCTTGATCATTTTATTTCTGAGAAGGGTCACTGTAAAAGTAGATAAAATGGCAAAAACTGATATAATAAATGTAAAGAAGTCTGTCTGCATTTGCTGTGCAAAAGCAGCAACAACAGATCTTTGGCCTTGTCAGTAAGCTCCCAGGACCAACACTACTGCTATAAAAAATCACAGATAACCCTGCACTAGAGTGAAGTGGCAAATTTGTAGTTCATAAATTAAATCAGATTTATTTAAACATCAAGAAATTATTCAAATTACAATTTGGCTCTGGTCAAAGGGACACTCCAATGCACAATTACAAGAAGAAAATACAAATTGACACTCTACTGCCTAATTGAAGAAAACCAATAAAAATCTCTGTTAGATAGAACCCCCCATCCCCCAAATAAAAACATGCATGCATTTAATTATGCATTTTTTCCATTGATGGTATATCCAAAAACAAAATTGGTACTTTGTGTAGTAATGAATCCTGGGGGAATTTGATAATTGGCCTTCATGACATACTTCCTGAACTAGAAGAATTCATTGTGTAAAAAATGAATTTACTTCCTTGACTACTCTTCCTTTTCCAGGCTTTACCTATTCCCTTATTAATATCAGACATTAATGTCCATTGATGGCTATTTTTGGCACCATAAAAGGAAACCAGTATTGCGTAATATATTGTACAGACTAAAACACAGAGGAGGACTAGATTGACTTGTGATATCTGTACGTTAGCATGCATCTCAATTTGTACATGTTCCTCCTGGTCAACATCTACGAGTTGATCTGGAATCAAATCTAATTTGTCTGGACCTGTCCCAAATCTACTTCTGCCTGGAAGATTCAAGAATCCATCTCTATTACATTTGACTCTATTACTCCTAGGGTTCATTTATCTCCCACAGTATTCTTCGCATTTTCTATAGAAGATACCACAAATAAAGTCCTACTCTCCTTTAATGGAATTGTCAAGAAGGAGAACAAATTGTGCCCAACCAGTGTATTTCAAAATATTTACTTTTGTACTGCTCCTCCATGTTTTCATCTATAGATCACTTCTCATTTGATCTGTGCCGTGACTGTCTCCTAGATATCAATCATCTTTTTTCCCTAACTATCCCTATCTTTTTTTGGGGGGGGGGAGAGGGCTATGGGCAGAATACTGAATCCCAAAGCAAAAGAACAAGCTAGTCATCTGCTCGGGTTATAAATCCGAAGGGTTCTTCAGAGATACAGAATTCAGATTAATCTAATCTCAAAGTTGTTATTGTGCCTGTTGGTCCTGAGCGCCATCTAACCTTGAGAGGTTAAACCTTTTATGAATGGTCTAACTTAATGGTTGATTTGACAATGCTTGTAAGCTATGCCCTCTTCTTCCAGCAATTGTCAAGTCGTCATTGAGAGACTGTGCACTATCTCTCCATTCAGAAAATTGTTTGAGAAAGGCACCTCCCTTTTTCTCAGTTTTCTGAATGTGAAGATAGTGATATGCCGAGGGTGCCCAACCCGAGGATCTCTCATTGAAACCTCAGACAAAAAGGCTGACTTAAATTTTATCAGTAATTGGACGTGACTTAACACAAAGAATTAAGTCACAACTCACAAAGTACAAAAAAGAATATGTACTAGCGACCCTTAAATGTGGTTGGGCTTAATGTATAAAGTGACAGAAAAATAGCAAATTCAATAAACAATCCGAGTTCAGGGCTTGCCGAGGTACAAAATAACAATCTAGCCAAGGTCAGGGATATAAAAAGCAAAATAGTTAAGACAAGCCAAAATGTAGTAGACTTACAGAGAATGTATGTTGGGATGTATGGTAAAGGCATAATCTAGGCACCCAAACAACCTTAGCTTAATGAAGCAGTTTTGGTGTATAGATCATGCCCATGCCCATGCAGAATACAAACTTCTCAAGTAAGTAACATCTGAAACCATTTTGTTTTCATGCAGGGTGTCACTTGCAGCCAGGGGAGGTGTGGCTAGGGCTGCATAAACAGAAACAAAGTGATTTAACTCCTAAATTGAAGAGAATTGAGCAGTGAGACTGCAGGGGCATGATCTACACACCCGAAATGTAGTCTGCAGTAATTGGCGAGTATGGCAAGTCGGTGTAAAAATGACTGCATCAATCTGACAGGTATGATATCAATTTTGAGGTTAATCCCTTTTTAACTGCTTAAGACAGGTCCTGTGATCTCCAGACACCATAACAACTTCATTAAGATAAGGGTGTTGTAGTGTCCAGAGGGCATCTATTTCCCATACTCCTCTGACTCAATGATCATGGCTTGCTGCGGGTGAGGTTTATCATTCACAGGTGCAATAGATATCCCTCAAGCTGCCTTTACTTATCCATGTGATGTCATATATGATCTTCCATACTATATTCCATTCCTATTATTAGAATCTCTAGAAATTCAATGTTGTTTTAGATGTTTGTGCCTTCACCAAAATACATATTTTCACTTAAATGCCACTAGTAATTTTACTAGTATCGGTGTAAAATAGAACAGACCCCAAATTCAGCCCCAATACACAAAACTGATAACATTCCCTTTCTTTGAACTTAAAAAAACACATTAGGGGGGGCGTGGCCGGACATCGAGTGCGATGGACGCACACTAAGTGAGCTCCGCTGACTCGGGCTCCTCAAAGCGGCACAAAACAGCCAAATCGGGTGATTCCCCAGTCCCACACCGCAGACACGATGTCCCAGCACCGGGGGGAAAAAAGCGCGGAGGCAAAAGATAAATCAGCCTTCTTTGCGGCTCGCACGCCGCAGTCTAAAATTGCCGACACACAAATCCAAGATGGCGCCGACCCGGACTTTGAACCGGAACATGACCCCACAGTGAGTAAACCAGACGATTGCCCCCTGACTCAGAGCCTCCTGCAATCCATGCTAGATGGTGCAGTTACTAAAATGCAAGCTACGTTCACAGCAGCCCTCAGTGATATAAGAAAAGGCTTCCAAGAACTGGAAACCCGGACCTCTCATCTTGAGGACACTGTGGGGGGCCTCATGGGAGCCCAAAATGAATATGTTACACGCCTCAGCAAAATTGAGGAACAGCTCCATAACCAGGAGACCAAAATAGCGGACGCAGAAGACAGATCACGCCGCAATAATATTCGATTAAGGGGAGTACCTGAGGAAATTGCGCCACACAACTTAACAGCCTTCGCTGTGGAGCTCTTCCACGTTTTACTTCCCGACATTCCCGCAGAAATGTTCCTGCTGGACCGCATACATAGGCTTCCTAAGCCACAACACCTGGCACCATCCACTCCAAGGGACGTCCTCATGAGACTCCACTACTTCCATATCAAGGACCAAATATTGCGAGCTCACCGCAACAAAAAGGACTTACCCACTCAATTCAAAGATGTCCTCATGTTTATGGACCTCTCAGCAGAGACTCTACGCTGAAGACGCTCATTCAAAGCCGTAGCAGACACACTGAGGCACCACCATGTGCCGTACCGCTGGGGATACCCGGCAAAACTGCTCATATCGAAAGGCGGGAAGCTCATCTCAGCATCCACACCAGCAGAAGGCCTGAACCTCTTGCAACAATGGGATATGTCCCTGAATACACAGCCGAATCCCAAGAACCCCAGCAGACCGCCATTTGAAATCGGACGGCGTCAGAAGACGAGACGCACATCTCCAAGAGAAGACTGAACATGCCTATCGGGAAACAGCAAGTTCTTTCCACGTTTATACTGTTATTTACATGTTATACACTAGATTATACTGTAACGATAATGCATGGTTCACAGATTGCTAACACCCTGATGATATGCCTATGAGACCCTCCCATTGGAGATGGGAGCGGCATTAAATGCGTCAAGCGCAATGGGCCTAACTAAACGACACCTCTGTGCTCACTTGTGATACACCCTATCGGTTGCCGACCTCTATGGTCACAGCCTCTACTACCTCAGCTCAGGCCCTTTACTGCCCATACCGGTGCCGGTCGCTCCAACCGACACATGTTAACCGCACAATTGGGCGAGGTGCACCCGACCCACGTTGGGCCCGTAGCGACCTCCGCTCGCCCCGAACCGACCACAACACCCCCCACCTAGGAAGTGCCATAGTTACGGCACATACCCCTACAAGTTATTATTGTATGATACTTTCTTTGTTTATTGCATAACTGTTTATTGTCTTATTTTATTTTATTGTGTTCAACCAAGTCTATCATAGACCTAGTGGTAAACAACACCGACCACTCCACGGAAGCCCGTTACTGACCCACACGATCATCCACACCGGACGCCCTGACAGGCGCCTCGCTCCGTTGAGGCTTAGCCCACCCCCTTCTCCTAACACTACGACATACACACGTAACATACGACTCACAAATACCAGTCACCCACACTAGCCACAGACAATGAAAATAATCACACATAACGTACGCGGACTGAACTCACCCAACAAACGGCACACCCTCCTCAAAGAACTTACTAACTCACATGCAGATATTGTGTGCCTGCAGGAGACTCACTTCAAACATGACTCCAACCCCATTTTGGGACTCAAAAACTTCCCGCACCAGTATCATGCAACCTCCCCTAACAAAAGCAAAGGTGTGTCGATACTGCTAAGTCATACTCTAGCCTTTGACCTAATTTCAGTCGAATATGATCCGAAGGGCCGTTATATCATTCTAATATGCACCTTGAACAACTCAACATACACGCTAGTGAGCTCTTATTCCCCAAACGACAACCAAACGACTTACTTGGCCTCCCTATTAGAAAAAGTGGACAAACTCCAAACAGGAACCACGATCATATGCGGCGACTATAACCACATACTAGACCCAAATGCAGACTCCACAGCTAGACACTCAACAAAACGAAAAAAGACACTACACAAATGTTGCAACTCTATAAATAAGCTTTTGTCAGCACATGGACTATATGATGTCTGGAGAACCCTACACCCAAACGATAAGGAATACACCCATTACTCCCAAGTCCACAATACCTACTCCCGTATAGATGGGTTCCTCCTACGAAACACGCACCTACACCAAATAAAAACATGTGACATAGAAACGTCCTCGATCTCAGACCACAACCCGGTGTCACTAGTCCTTGCAGACTCATACCAATTTAAACACCGAAGTCCATGGCGGTTAAACGAACACCTCCTCAACGACCCCTCATTCCTGGACAAAGTAAAAACCGAACTAACTCTATACTTCACGTGCAACAGTCCTACTGACACGTCCCCCGCCACACTCTGGCTAGCCCACAAAGCAGTCATCCGTGGTATCTTGATAGGCAGGGCGGCATATCTTAAAAGAATCAACCACACTACACTGCTCTCACTCCTCAAGGCAGTTCAGGACCTACATAGACTGAACCAAACAAATCCCACGACGACACTCCGACAGCAAATACAAAGCACACAAAACGAAATCAATGCCATTCACCTCCGCAAGGCAACGACAGCGCTGAAAAAACTAAAAGCTACATCCTACTCGAGGGGTAACAAAGCGACGAAACTACTGGCACAAAGACTTAGAGACAAACAAGCCCAAACGAGAATACAATTCCTATGCAAGCCCAACGGACAAAAAATAATTCAGCCCGCTCAGATCTGTAACGAATTCGCCCACTACTATAGCTCTCTTTACAACCTGAAAAACGACCTAAACTCTCCCCGACCCACACCAACGTCCATACGGTCCTACCTCACCAACCTAGCACTTCCCACTATTAACGCACACCAAGCAGCTCAACTCAGTGCCCCAATCACTACAGAAGAAGTCCTTCACCACATAGAGGGAATGCCCAGAGCTAAGGCACCAGGACCAGACGGGTACACCAATGCATACTACAAAACATTTAAACACATACTGGCCCCCCCACTTACCAAGTTCTTTAATGCAGCGACCAACCAGAGCTCCTTCCCCACTGAGTTCCTGTCAGCCCACGTAATCACAATACCTAAACCAGGAAAACCTCCAACTATATGCCAAAACTTCCGACCAATCTCGTTGCTTAATGCAGACACTAAAATGTACGCAAAAATTCACGCTGATCGACTGAAAACAATATTACCCTCCCTTATCCACACAGATCAGGTAGGCTTTGTGGCAGGTAGACAGGGACCAGACAACACCAGAAAGGTCCTTGACATACATCACCTCCTAAAACGGACCAACTTGGAGAGCATCATGCTCTCGTTAGACGCCGAAAAGGCGTTTGATCGCCTAAACTGGCATTTCCTACACGAAGCCCTGACCTTTTACGGCTTTCCTCCGCCCTTCTTGGCGGTCATTCATGCCCTCTACAGCAACCCCACAGCGACAGTACTAACTTCGGGGTTCTGCTCCCAACCCTTCCCAATAACCAATGGCACCCGTCAAGGCTGCCCACTATCCCCCCTCCTATACGTCCTAGCCCTAGAGCCACTAGCTATAGCCATCCGCAAAAATGATAGCATACATGGGGTACCTATTGGCCAACAGGAGTACAAACTTAATCTATTCGCGGACGACATTTTACTCACACTCACCCAACCACTCATCTCCCTCCCTTCATTACACAAAGAACTACACACATACAGTCAACAATCCTACTATAAACTCAACATTGCCAAGACACAAGCGATATGCTTCAATGTACCCAGGAATACTGAAAATACCCTTAAAGCAAATCACGAATATGATTGGAGAGCAGACTTCTTAACATTCTTAGGCATCAGGATAACTAACAAGACCACTGACCTCTTCACAGCAAATTACGTAAAACTGTTTCGAGAAATTGAAAGACAATTACATAGTTGGAAAAATTTATTCCTATCATGGGTCGGAAAGATAGCGGCTATCAAAATGACGATACTTCCTAAATGCCTGTATCTCTTCCGGTCCTTGCAAATCAAGATCCCACAAAGCTACTTGATCAAGATGCAAGCAGCCCTCCTCCGCTTCTGCTGGTGCGGTAAACGCCCCAGGGTACCTAAAGCCCTGCTCTTCAAACACACAAAACAAGGAGGTATGGGATTCCCAAACCTCAAAGCATACTACCACGCAGCTCTACTCTCAAATGTAATCAATGCACACACGACACACCAGCCTCCACAATGGGTAGCGCTGGAAAGCCAGCTCTGCATCAACAACGACCTTTCATCCACGCTGTGGACTCCCAAACACGTAAGGCCAAGCTCCAAGGACCTATTGCCCACCACCAAACTCCTGCTATCCACATGGGACACCTGCAGGAAAAAACTATGCTCGGCTCACCCGTGGGAATTAACCGCCCCGATCAAAACAATACACCACTGCAATGGCACATTCCCACACCGTAAATGGGAAAAAAAGGGCATCACGCACCTATTACACCTCTACACAGCTGAAGGCCTAAAACAGTTCCCAGACCTTCAAACCGAATACTCGCTCCCACCGAACTTCGCATTCTCGTACCTACAATTAAAAGCTCTACTGATGGATAACTCGATCACCAACAGTAACCAGACTTTAAAGACCTCAGCGACGAAATTTGAACGACAATGTATGTCAGCGACACCTCCGAAAAAAACACTGTCCACCTGCTACAATGGCCTAGAAAACCCCAAAACAGAAGTCACATGGAAATTCATGAAGGACTGGCAGGAAGACCTCCAAGAACAGCTCTCCCCAAGTGAATGGGAGGAAATATACACAACACACGAAGGTTTATCCTCATGCGCGGCACATTTTGAAACGTCACGCAAATTGCTATATAGATGGTACATGGTACCCTCACGACTACATAACATGTACCCTGACACACCAGACATATGTTGGCGCTGCAACTCACACAGAGGCACAATGCTACACGTGTGGTGGACCTGCCCCACTGTGAACGAACTCTGGACAATGACGGAACATATGATTCAAGATGTTACGGGATACACCTTGCCCCACGAGCCCAAAACAATTCTCCTAAGATCATTCCCTGTCAACATCCCCAAACCAGCAAAAAAAATGATATATATCATATTGAGCACGGTCTCCAACCTAATAGCTAGAAACTGGAAGACCTCTACACTACCCTCGTCACAGGAAATTAAGACTCTGTTGTCAACAACAGTGGATTACGAACTACAAATGTGGAATCAACTTAAAATAGGGAAACTGAGCCTACCTATGGCCGAGATGTGGCGTACCTACCTGTCAACACAGCAGCCACTCCCAAACCCCCCCTAGCCTAATGCGAAAAGAGGCTAAAATGACTCAAAATACTCTAAACCAATGCCACTATGAGTAGCAAAACCTGCTAGCTACTCAAGCGAAGCTATATCACACTTCACGACTCAACTAGACTAAAAACACGGCTCCCTGCCCAAAGATGTCCTCGTCAGTAACGGACCTCACCAAGGTTATACCTACTACCCTAGTTATGATTCCTACCCCCTGTACCCCTCTCCCCCCCCAAGCCTCGAACCTTAACCACGAGCCCTACAGGGAAACACGAAATCACGCACTAGACTTTTTAAAAGATATCACAAATGAAAGTTGCGAGAGGGTTACCGCATACAAATACAGCCCATGGATCAGGCCCTTAGGAAACGATATCACCAGATATCCTTTACACCAAAAGCGAAGGGAAACACAGGACACCTAGAATAATGTACACACATAAACTATAACGTATATTGTGTCAACCCTATATAATTAACATAAGCAATATAAATCGCTGCTTACTCTTACACTGCTGAGAAAGACAAAGAGGCCGACCCAAAGAAACATAGAAATAGACGACAGCAGAGACGGTCCTTGATAGACCCCATGAACAAATGCTAATAAGCTGCCTCGGTATACTAGGTATCCCCCGCCAACCATCTAGCAAGATGCCACATAATATAGCAACATAAAGGCATGTTTGATAAAAAGAATCACAGTACAAGTGCAATTTCATGTATATCAATGTTAATGACTTGATTAACACAATGCAATGTTGTACAAACTGCAATTTCGTGACTTAAACCTTTTGTCCCCCCTCTCCCTCTTTACTTTCTGTACCCCTACCCTTTTATATGACAAAACAATAAAAATTGTCAAATTGGAAAAAAAAAAAAAACACATTAGTCTTACTCTTCTGATGTAAGAACTCTACTTGCCTGCTTTTGTTGTTAATTGTATTCATGCCTTCATTTATTTCACACAATAACAAAACAGCTGATGGTTCAATAGCCACAGGCTATCATGTCTTGCCACCTAATGGTTTTGAGACTTTCGTGATGGGGCATTCACAGCTTTTCAAAGATGTGATTATACCCCCTATGATTTATTTTATTATGATTCCTGAGTGGTGCTAATGTTATTAAAAAAATTTAAAATAAATATGATGTGCCTGCATGTATACCAGAAGCTTTTCATATTATATTGTTGATATTTAAACAGTTTATTGTCTACAGACTTTCTGTCCTGTCTAACAAAACATTTATTAGAAAGGGCCCAATATCATAAATCCTAAAATCCATAAGACAGCTTTTCTTAGCGTAATGCATTCTGAAAGCAAATGTTTACTCATTAAATTATCATTTGATCAGAGAATATCGGGAATATACATACCATAATAAATGATGATTATTGAATTAAAAATGTATGTTTCTGTTATTTACCATTCAAAACCAACTTTAAACAATCTAAAATAATATGAAAAACAAATTTAAATATAGATGAAAAATGCAGTTTTGTGACTTTGTTTGAGTTTTGTTCATCATTTGTTTGTAGGATATCATGCGCGTCACATTTTGTGTAATATTTATGAAACATATCGCATACAAGCTAAGCATGTAGGTTAATATTTTGTTTATATTATATTTATGTATTATGTTTACATATATATATATATATATATACACAAATTTATATATATATATATATATATATATATATATATATATATACATTTATCTTTGAAATTGCCTATTAACTAATAATATAATATATTCATATCTGATAGTTCTCAGTTTACAGCTGTAAATATGTAGCGCTTTTAGATAGAGCCAGTGAGTCAGGAGGCGACTTGTTAAGATGTTATTATCAAAGAGATGCTACTGATATGTCTTGCCTACTATTGGTCATTGCATTTTCAAAATCAAATCAGACATTTTTTGTAGAGTAAAAATATCCACAGTTGTATGCATTGTGAATGGACTACAACTTTGCACACAGTGTTCATATTACTATATGCTACTATTTTAAGCCATGCTGTAATTCTCTTGTCTTGAAGGTGACGACATCATACAATCGACGGATGTAAAAACTTACACGAAAATGAGGCTTGAAATACAAGCCGTGGTATAATGAATTACAGCTGCAGGAGCTCCGTGCGGATAAGCTGGCGGCAACCCGCGGGAACTATTGCATGTTTTTAAATGCTCCACAGACTTTTATGGATTAGATGAGCACTAGGAGATGTACTGGTTTTGAACGAAACGCGTAGGGCTTTAGTGTTTGTGTATGAAATGCTTATGTAAGAAACAGAGTATCCTAAGCTGCATGTATGTCTTTTGTTTCTTTTCTGTGCTCTACGACACAATTTTTATCCTTTTTCTCAGAAGGTATGGTGCTTTGGGAGAGGCCTATAGAAGTGCCGCAGCAGTTACTTATAGACTTTACTAAGCGGTCCTGTTTTTGACATTTTTATTTTTCATTTTTTTACTAAAGAACATAAATTTGTGTAATCTGGCATCTATATTAATTAATTGAATTCTTTTGATCATTTTAACCCCTTAAGGACACATGACGTGTGACATGTCATGATTCCCTTTTATTCCAGAAGTTTGGTCCTTAAGGGGTTAAATTTCATAAATAAATGAACCAGGGTGATATAAAGAAAATGAAAGAAAGGTTTCAAATTTTTTGGATATTTTGAAAATGTAGCTTTACTGATTCAGCAAATTGGAACACAAGACATAAACTCCGAGGATTTTTCAGTAAGCCTGAAATGGTTAAAAAAAAAATGCAAAGGCTATTTAAAATTTCAAGACCTAATAGCTAAATTGAAAAAAACAAACAAACAAAAAAAAAATTTGCATAATTTTATTCGGCCTTTAATTCCAACAATTTTCAGTTTACAAAATAAAACCATCAGTCAAAATAAGCAATAACAGTGTTCATTTTGCATGACTGTGTCTGTGTGTTCTATTGAAGACAATGATAAGAACAGAAAAACAGTTCCACAAAATATGGGCACCCTGGGACGACAGCCCCCTAGCCTAGAGAGGCCCAACACGCTCACACATCAATGGCAAGTAGAACACTAGAAAGAATCGCTGGTGCCTCTAATCCCCCCCCTCCCCCCTCACTCATCTCTAATACCCCACTTTCTGTCTTTCTCTTTCTTTTCCTTACTGTACATAAAACACAAAACTAAGTTGAGCAAATGCAACTCACAGTGTAGGAAAGAGCTATACCAGCACGCACGTAGGGCTGTGGAAACGAGGAGAAAAACCGCTAACGCGCTACCCAATGCAGGCCAAGATCTCCAGCATGACTAGATAATATCCCCATACTGTACAGGCTCCAATATTTGCGAAACGCAAAGAACACACAATATATACAGGCTACACCTTGCTAACAAGAGAAGTGTAAAAATAAATAAAAATGAATACATGTCTGAGAATGAAAAAAAAAAAAAAAGGGAAAACATGTATTGGTTGCTGACAGACATAGCCTGTAATCTGACAAACGCATAAAAGCTGTAGCGACTTGGTTTTGTGTATATAAAAATGTGCACTGTTTTTTCTCATGCCACATATCTATTACCGCATGTTCCTATTATGTTTGCACCAGCTGTTGTGGCAGTGCAAAAATGATTGTTATATATCTGCACAAATAAAATAAAGAATTAAAAAAAAAAAAAAAGACAATGATAAGGTAATGCTCTATCATGAAATAAAATAGACACTGTAGCCCGTTTTACATCAATACACCTCTGTGATACATTGTGAATACATGGACTATGACATGTATGCGGTACAAGCCGTGTTAAAGTTGAATTATTCACGCAGATGGCTTTCCGCTTTCAACCTTCCCCTATCACGCGGTTTACAGGTATCCACAGATTTAGTTTTCCCGTGAAACAGCTTTGCATCAAGGCTGATCGGGGTTGCGTAAATCGGCTCAAGAACTGCTTGGGCTGACAGGTTTATACAGATTAAGGCCTGGAGGACATAAATACTCCAAATGTCTCTAATTAGAGACATGCAAACAAACTTAATTATTGCTGCTGAAACAAGGCCAAATGTAAACTTAGCATTTTCTTTAAAATACCCTATATAGTGATGGGTATAATACAGATGCCCTGTCAGGTACTGTGCCATGTGTTAAATATATATATTTTTCCTTGGCAATATAGATATTATAAATAAAGAGGAGAAAATGGCTGGTCTTATTTATTTTCATTTGCCCCCATAGGCATGGATGCCTTCCCTCTCATGTATTGATTTATGTATAATATGAATTTTACTTTTTCATTCGTACAATTCAAAGGAACACACTTGCCAAAAAATAATGTTTATCCTCGGAGTGTCGGTTGTTAGATTGCATGGGTCACCTTCCGTCAGTGCTGTCCATTTACTCATATACATTTGAGACGACCGTGAACAAGCCATTATCTTGGAACCCAAAAGAATACGTTTTAAGTGT